GCTAGAGAGGGAGCATCTGAATTAGGGAGGGAGCATCTGGGCTAGAGAGGGAGCGCCTGGATTAGGGAGGGAGTGTATGGGCTAGGGAGGAAAGGTGACCCCACCCTCCAGATTTTCCAAGACCTCAGTGCTTCCATCTGGCCCCCAATCAATCAGGTCCCAAATGAAGTCCAGCATTTCCAGCTAGGCAAACCTTTCCAGACAATGTGCTCACCCCAAGAGTGGGGCTAGCCTCCAAACAGTGCCTGTGATCTTGTGGGGCTTCCTGATATGCTAAGAGGGGTGCTGGCCAAGCTGGCTGCAAGACTGTGTGGCAGGAAGCCCATGGAAGGCTGTCCCCACCAGCCTGGACTCACGATCAGGTCCATTTAGAAAAAGATAAAAGCCTCTTCTCAAGGTCTCCATGAGAAGAACGTCAGCAGCTCCCCCAGAGGCCAGCCACCCTGCAGTGGGTCAGAGGTGATGGACACAGAGCATCCAGCCTCATTTGAGACAATTGTGTCATGGCTTTTCCCAGCCAACCGCTAAAAAATAACAAAAGCAAAACTGCTTAGATCTAGCTGCTGCTTGACTTGGTCTATTTCCACTTCCCTCTCCTTGCCCAGAGAGGGACTTTACATACTGTCAGGGCCACTCCCGCGAGGTCAAGCGGGCAACACATCAGTTCTCATTCTGCCACCAGCTGTGGCCACCTTGCCGTCTCTCCTGGCCCCCCAACCACTTTCTGGGCCCGGGGCAGCTCACGGCAGTGGGGAGATGCGCTGGAAGCCCCCCAGGCACATTGCCAATGACTTCCCCTGCAGCAGGCCGGCTGCCCTGCACCCCACACCAGATGCAGGGCCACCCTGTCTGCCCACAGGGCCTCTGTGTCACACCCAGATTCCTCTGCTGGGGTTGCTGTGACCGTGGCTTAAAAAAAGCAGCGTGTGTTCCTTCTGGGGGGGACAGACCCGCACCCTTCTCCCAGCTTCCATGGCTTGTGGCTCCTCACCCCATCAGCCTCTGCCTCCCTCCTGACAGGCCTCCCTTGGTGTCATGTCAGGTGCCCCCTTTCACAGGCACACTGGGCACACGGGAGCCGAGTCCACACAGGGGGCGAGGGCACCAATGTATGGGTGGGGGGTGGAGGGACAGAGCACCCATCACATCACCCAATGCAGAGCCTCCTCTGACTGTGTGCACTGTGTCCACTTCTCACGCCTCCCTGTTTGATCTCTGTGTCTGTCTGTACTTCTCGCCCAGGATCTTTACGGCCATAATGCCCATGGTCGCAGCCGGACTGATAATAGATGACCCCACCCTGCAGCCCGTCCGACGACTTGTCCCCCTCGTAGGCACTGTGTTCTTCTGTTGCCTTTTGAGCTGTGCCTTTGGCGTGCGCAGAGTGCTACGGCGGGGGCTGGCCTGCCCTCTCTGGCGGCTTTAGATGCATGGCCACTGCCTGGACATTCCCGTGTGACGTGGGTGTCAAGTGCTATTTCAAACGTGCCCCTCGGGATGCTCAGGCTGCATGAGTGAAGCCTCGGGATTCTTGGCTCTGTCACCAATAATTCTTTTTGTCTTTTCTATTTCCATTTTAAAACCACCTTGTCCATGATCCAGTAAAGACGGTCCTTTAAGTGATGGGTCAGTAATCGCCGCCCGCTGTGACACCCCCGCCCCCGGATGACACTAACACGGTGTTTTTGATCTTCACACCCTAGCTTTCTAAACTGCTTTGTTTGCCCAAGGCATGGTGAGCCCGCTGGTCTTATAGAGAAAAGGAAAAGCAGAGGGAAGGACCCAAGACCAGGTCTGTGTGTTCCCCTGGAGAGGCAATGCCACGTGGTTCTCCTGCTTCCCTGTCAGGGGAGGTGAAGTATAATCGATGTGTTGCCACTGTTGCACTTTTGGCCAGCTCATTCCCTGACCACACTATAAAAATGATCACAAGTAGCCAGTGTCAGAAGCATGCCCACCCTGGCCTACACATGTGCCTGCTGTTGAGAAGAGACCTTAACTGGCAGGGAGGCTCCCACCAGATAGACTGGCTTGCCCCAGAGTGTGGCTGAAAGAGCCCTTTATTCCTGGCAGTAAGTGTTCGTGAATAGTAAAATCATTTTCACGCAGGCGTGATTAAATCCTAGCCCTGTAGCCACTGGACATGAGCGCATGCACACGCACGCGCGGAAGCTTGGATCTCTTGATGACTTGATTCCGAGAAGTTTAACAGAGCTACTGTATCTCCCCACTAAAAATTGAGAGTCAAGACTAGAAAAGTAGGTGAGGAGAAAAGGAATTTTTATCAGTGGCCAGAAGCACACAAGAATGGCGGCAGCTCGGCAGGGTTTGGGGAAACATGTGGTGGGCCAGCTCGAGCTTCCTGGCCAGGGTCCTCATTCCGCTTAGTGGCACTGAAGGGGACCTGCTTTCACGGGCCGCTTGGCTACTCGTGGGTGGTTCGCTGTGGTCACGGCTGTCCGTGCAGGCGTGTAGCTCATGGCTGTGACCACATGTGAAGTCTTTGACCCTCTAACGGGGTGTTTCCCGTGTTCTGTACTCACCGAGCATGCGTACCATTACTTGATACGTTTTTGAGTTCTCACATTTTTCTTACCACTTACTCCCCATTTTTGCTTTGTCACAAGCAGTAAGAGAGCCACAAAGTCTGGGCTTTGATGTGTGGCTCATGCAGGGCCCTGAGTCCTATTAAAAGGCTCACAACTGCTTAGTTGTAAACACCCAGCTGCCTTCATCACAATCATCTGACGGCCCACCTGGCTTTCAAGTGTTACTTCCTCTGTGTCACTGGAATAAAGAAACCCGTGGCCCTTGTTGTTTCTGGTAGCTTTTGCTGTTCCCAAGGGTAGTGAGAGATCCCCTGCAGGGTTCAGGTGGGTGACACATCACCTTCCATGTTCTCTCACCCCCTCTTCACACTATGTCATCTCCAGGGCACTGTGCCAGTGACCTGCAGAAGAACCCCCTGTTGCTTTTAGAATAATATTGACCTGCACCCCCTCCCAGTTTTTTTTAACATCTTGATGTTCTCCCTCTCCCATTTGCCACTATATGTCCTAGCATTGCACAGAGTGTATTGTGTTCAGCCAAGGACAGGAGCTCATGTCTTTCTTTCCCTCCCAAAAGCTTTAGCTTCTTCTCCCGAGACAAAAAGCGCCTGGCCAACACGCAGAGAAACATGCACATCCAGGAGACCTTCGGCCAGTGGGCAAACTCCCACCGGGACGATGGGTACACAGAGCAAGGACAGGAAGCGCTGCAGCACCTGTGACTGGGGCCCACCGCTGCCCCCAGACCTGGACCATCCACCGCAGCACCTGGTGTCACCACAATGGACACCTCTCTGTTCAGATGCACCCTTGAAATTGATCACTCAAACAAACTGTCTGCTTTGAGGAAGCACATTGAAAAATGAATGCCAAACTCAAAAGAAATGTTTATTTATACCCAGGACTCTCCCTGTTTGTAATAGACGATGCCAATCCCTTAGGATATATATTTAATAGACCGTGAACTGAGACAGGACTTTTGCATTAACCTGAGTGACACAGTAACTTCTTTAAGCCAAATATATCACTTGCCACTACAACTGTTGTTTGATTTGCTTCATATGAAATTCTCCATGTAGAATTTTTACGATCTCATTGGTCACAAGTGCAGGCAGGAGATGGTGACTCTGCATTAGCTGTGTCCATAGAGGGTGGATATAATCAATTAGACAAGTAGGGCCTTCCAAGACACAGGACGTGCTAGCCCAGCTCAGACAGATGGCAACAGGAAACATGGACAACAGCCTCTCCACCCACAAACTGGAGACACTTAGGCAAGAGCCACCCCCCACCTTGTGGATTGCACCTTATTACCCACAATGCCTAGAGCATGTCCAATGTTCAAGGCCAGTGCCTTGGAATTTGCTGTGAGATATGCAGTACTAACCAAAAAAAGTTGCTAAGGATGAGACAATGTTATTGTTTCCTGTGTGGACTTTTTTTTCTTATCATTCTTTGTCTTAGCATATACTGTACCAATACTTAGCCCCTTGCCAAAAAGACTATAAATACCCTAAAACAGATTGGGAATGGGGTTCCCCCCACCAGGGGATGTGGGATGGTGGGTGGGGATAGACATGTGCCTGCAGGGGGGTGGGGAGGTACGTGAAAAGCTGGCTTGGGGACCCCATGTCTAGCTGATTCACAAGGCTGTGGTGGCAGAAGGAGAGCCCAGGGCCTTTTGTACAGCTGGCAAGTAGGGGGGTTACCCAAATATTACTTCCTCTCCATGCATGGTGCACCCATGGCACAAGGCTAGTGCTCAGGATTGTCATAGCAAGCACTTGCTAACAGCAGACACAGGACAAGTGAGCTGAGAAACCATCAGGTTGTTTTTCAGAACACACATGGACTGTTTCCAGATGAATGGAATATAATGATGCTGGCTTAGAGCAGAGGTTCTCAAACCTGGCTGCACACTAGAATTATTATTTTCAAAAAGTAAAAAGTATTTGTACTGAGGACCTCCCCACCCCGCCAACTTTCAGTTGTCCTTCCCAGGGGCAACTAGTATGAACTCTAGAATTGTTTATAAAACTACATGTATAAAAAAATGCATGTTTACTTCCATTCTTTCCCCCTAAATATATGCTCTTCTGTGCTTTTTTTTTTTTTTAATTTATTTATTCACACAGAAATGGGGTACAGACCAGAGGTGCAGGGGCAGTGAGAGGATTCACCAGAGAAACAGTAGGGAGGACAGGCAGACTGATGAAGTACACTGCTGTGGAAAGCAGTGGGCGGGTCAGGAGAGGCCTGCTGCACCACATGAGTCAGTTCTCTGGCCAGGGATCAAACTCATGCTGAAGCAGCTATGGCTAGCTTCACAGTGTTGTGCTTTAGGGAGGACCTGCTCTTCTGTGCTTTTCTTTACAGTATCCTGAAGAGGACTCCACAATTAGTTCAGACTGGGTCACCACCTGGGTGATTGCCCCTCCCCCACTGGGATCACTGGGTAAAGTTCAGAGTTTGGGTTGTTACAAAAGGCAGGGAGACGGGTGCTGATGCACCCAGGGGTGCTGCTCCACACCCTACCAGTCCCAGCACAGACCCACAACAAAGAATGACCCACCTGCAGGTGTCACTGGGGGAGGTGAGGAACCAGTCTACTGGAAAGCTGATTGTGGCCAGGCCCCACTGGTGGACGGGGAACTCGCTTCCTAGCCTTTACTGTCTCACAGTACTGCAGTCTGTAGTATGAACTGGAACCAAACTGTTAGGTCAGAGCCGATCTGTCACACTGAAGGTTACTGCTAAAGACCCTGCTGTGGAGATGCTACCAATTTCTTTTTCTTTTTGGCCACCAGATGCCACACCAGACTTTGTCCCATGTCCGGGGGTGGGATTTTAAAAATTCACTCCTATTCTAACCCTTGGGTTGGTTACTGCCAGTGAGCCTCTAGTGTGGAGCACTCAAGTTTAGCTGAAGCACCTGCCCACTCCAGTCCAGGACACACTTCAGGAGCACTTTGTCCGGAAATGTGGGTGACAGCAGAAAGTCTTCCTGCAATGTTTATTTCTGAGACTCAGGACAGCAAACATCTGCACCAGAAATCCACAGTGTATTTTTCTAAAACCATCCTAACAGCTGACAGCAGTTTTAAGACAGGGCAAGTGCCTGTGTACCAGTGAGTGGCATGCCTGCGCAAAATGATATGAACGTGTGAGTCTTGAAACAAAATCAGACATTTATTTTGTATGAAACATTCTGAATTTTAAGAACTTGCACTTTCAGAGACAAAGCCCTTGATAAAACAAAAATGCAAGAAGTCACTTTTAAACAATGTGAATACAGTGGTATCTATTCAGAGCCCCTGGCAGTAAAGTTCTGAACATCCAGTACCCAAGCAAACCAGAGGGATGAGGTCAAACACACACCTTTCTGCTCAGACACTGGTGAGACAAGGTGGTTTCTCAAGCTTACTAAAGAACGTGACCTTGAAGAGTACTAACTCCCAGTGTCAGCATGTTCACTTGAATCTGGGTCACAGAATGGAGAGAAAATGTACTCCACACCCCCACAGCATCAGGAAGCCATGCTCAAGCAGGGGTGCATCCTCTGTATCAAAGCGAGGCCTTTACCTGAGCAGTCTTCTCTCAAGCCCAGTGCTGCTACTGGGCCACTACTTACTCCTGTCCCTCTTCTCCCTCCCCTTGACCCTGTCATCTCTGAAGTCCCTCTCTCTCTCCCAGTCATTTTCAGGCCACACTCTGGCAGGTTCTCTCTCTTGCCATCTCTTCTCCCGGCCCCTGTCATGGTCTCTATCCCGCACCCTCGAATCCCAATGTCTCTCCCGGGATCGAGACCGCTCCCTCCGTTCCCTTTTCCCCTCTCTATACTGGTCATTTTTAACAATTGGCAAATTAATGGGTTTTCGAAAAGGCCGATCCCGCCCCCCAAATCTCAGCTGCCCCGATTCCTTCTTCCCCCCCAAACCTCCTCCAAGTCGCCGGGGGATCCACCCTTTGAGAGTCCTTTCCAGCTCATAGTCCACAAATATCTCATGCTGGTCGATCACCAGGCCATCTGCATCACGGTAAGCGCGCAGCAGAGAACGCTCCTCTTTGTATTCGATGAAGGCGTAGCCCTTTGAAAAGCCTGTCACCAAGTCCCTCACCAGGCGCAGCCTCCGGATGTCCCCGTAGCGGGAGAACACCTCCTTCAACTTCTCCTCCTTGGTCTGCAAATTTAATCTGGCCACAAACAGGGTGAGGAGGGGGTCCCCCGTGACCCCTTTGTTGGGGGCGTATCTTGCCAACATAGCCCTCCAGACCGCTCGATCATGTGGGTCTTCATCAGTGCCATCGATGCTGCCAGCTTTAAGTGGATCATATTCCTTGGCGATGGGCACCCAGTCGTTCATGTTCTAAGGGAGTAAGAACAAGTATTTAGGAGTAGCACCTGCCTGGGCGGCCTGCTCTTTTAACACTTAATCCAACAGTTAACCCAGGAAGTAGAAACTATGACCCACCCCTTCTCTAAGTAGGGAAGGAACTCTCAGAGGCTAAGGACTCCCAGCTAGAAACTGGGGAGACAGGATAAAAGCCAGACTGTGGGTGCCACAGGCGCTCCATCCCACTCTTCTGTGTCCCTCTCAAGACGCTTCATATATGTACCCTCCTGCTAGCCACGGGAGCATGCTTGTCCACTTACTCAGAACATGGCAATGTGAATCAAGAGCCAGGCTCGCCTTTCAGAGACTTAAATGGTCACAGTAAAAGTGGCCTGGGAAGTGCTAATGGAGAACGGCATTTTTTTGAAATCATGAGCTTCATGTACAAGGGACATATTTCATATAAACTGAGACTCAGAGACACAGTGACACCCCCACAACTCCCCCTGGGAGCCACAAGTAGCCACTCTGTTTCATCTGTGCCCCCACTCACATCCTGACACTGGGACTGTTTTGAAACACATTCCAGATATTACATCACTCATCTATAAATACTTTAAGATACAGCAGTGAAAGAGCAAGACTAAAACAAAACTAGGAGAGAAAATGGGCCTGGAGGGAGCACTGGGCCTCTGTCAGTAGCCAAGGGCTAAGCTGGCATCACGGTGACCCAGGAGCAGGTGCTCTGCATCCCAGGGTATGTGGGGTTCCTCCCCATTCCCTGGCTGATGACCCCTCTATGCCTTAGTGCATAGAGGGCGTCACCAACATAAGCTGAACCCTGCAAGCACACAGTGGCTTCCCTTCCATCTGGTACAGAAAGTTGGAGGGTTCTGACACATGATCATTAGTTCACCCCAACCTGCTGGGATAATACAGGGTTCCCCAGCATTTCAGATGCTGTGAATGATGGTGTGACCACCTCTGGGAATGTCATGCCTAGGCTCTGTTGCATGTGTACGGTGAGCCTGGCCAAGATGTCTGCTAACAGGCTATCTGGAACATTCTCCTCTGACTCAGATCTTCTCAAGGGTCTCTTTGCTTTTGTTCTCCTTCTGCTGATGGGCTATGTAGGGGGAGTGACTGCTTATGGGATACACTGTGGAGCTTTTTTGCCCAGTCAACACGCCAAAGTGCAAAGTGGATGGAGCAACACTGAGCCCTCACACAGCCTCTCCCCAGATCCCATCGCAAAACCCTTCACACCAGGGTGGCTCCGTCCTCAGGGTTCACGTCTTTCCTGGGCAGCTTCCTCTGCTGGGAATATTCTCTTCCAATCTCCCCTCCCCCCAGTGGAAATCCCACTCGCCCTTCTGCCTCTCCCCCGTGTAGCAGTTCACTACCGCATCTCCTCTGTGGTCCTAGTCACGGTTTTGCCCAACACACAATACACGAGATTTGCTTCGTTCTACGTCTGCTCACCCCGTTTCCAGATGCTCACGGTGAACGTGAGGAAACTCAACCCGCCTAGCCAAAACACTTTTTTGAAAAGTATTGTGGCGCTGGGGGCCAGACCGCTTCACGGAGGGCGGAGAAGCCGTTCAACACTATCGGCTAATTAAGGCATCAATGATAATCAACTCCGGCCCCAGCCCACCGCCCCGCCCCCACCCCCCCCCCACCCCCGCAGGGTGGCCCGGCGCCGAAAGGGTCTCCCCGCCACGCGGCCCCCGCCCCCGCCCCCTCACAACCCAGAAGTCTCCCCTTCGCCGGGTTTCAATATGGCGGCCCGCACGCGCGGTCACACCGCCCGGCCGAGCCCCACGTCCTTCTCGCCAGTGGGGCCAGCGCCCGCGGGACGCCCCTTACCTCTGCCGGGCGCGCGCTGTCTTCCGGGCGGAAACCGGCGCTCTGCGCGAAACAACCGAAGAGCCCTTGGGCCGCGCCGCGCCGCGCCTTTGGCGTTGAAAGAAGCAGATTCGTCAGGGCGCTCTGTCCGCGTCTGTTTTCATTTGAAGAAGTAAAAAAATCTCTGTATTTTGAGTATCGTCTCCCTAGAGAGTGATGTTTTCGTTCTTCCAATTTCCTGGACGAAGACGAGCTACATGATGGCTGCTTCGGTGGCTGTCGAATGTGCGGTTGGTGGCGATCGCTGGATTTGCCCGGGCTAGGGCTCAGCGCCGACGGCGCGCTGGGTCTGAGGTGCGGGATGGGGAGGCGCAACTTGGGCTGGGATTTCCGCGGAAAACGCACGTGACAGTGCGCGTGAAACTGTGTACGTCCCCCTGGGATGTTCTTAACCCCCACGTTTAATAGGTCTGCTTTCCACACTCCATGCTGCGCTTGGCGGCATACCCTGTGACTTGGAGGAAGATTGTCAAAGTGCCCTTCCTTGGATGTTTGAACTCCGAATCGCTGGAAGTTTGCATTTTCTGCAAATTCCCAAATGGTCCTGTGAAAGCCTACTAAATAAAGCCTTGAGGTCCGCGGGAACAAGCGCCGACTTCTAACTGGTGTGTGGGAGGGCAAGCAATAAATGTTGCAAGATTGGCCAAATGCCCCCGCGCTAATCCTGTTCTCTTTTATTGATTGGTCGGAATACATTGACAACTTGAAATTCGTTGGTACAGTTGTGCTTTTATAATCTGATGATTGGTGCCTTGTGATAGTCTTCAGCTACCTATTTTAGAATTAATTCTTACACGTGGGTGATTTCTGCAGACATTGATCTCAAATTTTAATTCTTAGAAGGTAAAATTATCTCTAATTGCCAAGAATGTATTGCTGTTACCTAGTCTATTGATAGTGGTAAGGGAAAGGTAAGTTTTAATTATCTATAGCTATTTTTTAATATAGTACAAGGTCTTAAAATATATTAATAAAACTATGGAGTAAAAGTAAGCAATTACTATAGTTTAACATTTTAGGTTTAAAAACGTGTGTGTGGCATATACATAGGAGCAAATACTATTCAGCCTTAGGGGAAGAAATTCTTTTTTTACGATTTATTTATTTTATTCATACAGAGCTGAGGTATAAGCCAGAAGTGCCGGGGGCGGTGAGAGGCTTCACCAGAGACAGAGTGGGGAGCAGAACAGGTAGATCCACGAAGTACACTGCTGAGGGGAGCAGTGGGCAAGTCAGGAGAGGTCCGCCGTGCCATGTGGATCACATCTGGGGCCAGGGATGGAACTCTACTACGCGCCAGCTTGCAGTGCAGCGTTCTAACCCGTTGCGCCACCAGGGAGGGCCCCGGGAAGAAACTCTCATCATTGCAACAGCATAGATGGACCCAGAAGATATTGCACTAGATGAGAAAGGTCAGACACAAAGTACAAATATTGTGTGATTCCTAGAATGTGAGGAATCTAGAATAGTCAAATACATAGGCAGGAAGTAGAATGATGTTTCCCAGTGGCTAGGGGTGATGTATGTTTGTGGTGGGGGAGAGAAACAGGGGGACAAGGAGTCCTTGTTGAATGAATATGAGGCTCATTTAACATGATGGTGCAATTCTGGAAATGGCTGGTGATGGTTACACAGCATTGTGAATGTACTTAGGACCACTGTGTTATCATCCTCAGTTTCCAGCAATCCTCCCTCAGCAGGGATGACTATGGGATTTGTAGTCCTTGGTGTCTTGGATCTCTTTGGTCTGGTGTGGTGGAGGCGCCCATAAAACTGTGTTGTGGAGTTTCCACCTTTCCCCCCCAGCAACTGCACTGTGCCTTTAAAAATAATTACCACAGTAAGTTTTATGTTATGTATCTTATACCACAATAAAGAAGATTTGTTAATATATGTGTGTGTGCCCCAGGAAAAAGAGAAGGCTCTATGGAGACATGGCTGGTTCTAGGCCTAGGGGAAGAAGACGAATTGGAACAACTTGTAGTGCTGGAAAGTAAAGAAGGGCTGAAACCAAATAAAAACAAAAAACTACCAATGATGATGATGTCAGAGACACAGAGCCAACCAAAGGCTCCCAATGGCTAACGCAGAACAATTTGAGTGACAAAATAATGTTATAATCTAGTGAAATATAAAATAAATATCCATAAGTCTATACTGATATAAATAATTGATTGAATAAATAAACAGGATAGAAGATTCTCCCATGCAGAATTCCAACTAATTTTATGTAGATAGCTCCTCTCTCAAGAAGATGAGGCCTAAGCCCCCACCCTATCAGTGTGAGCTGGATATCTCAACTTCCTTGCAAAGTATGGAAAGGGGGAGGGAATAATTTTACAAAGGAAAAGCTATTGCTGTAAGTGATCAGGGTCAACATGTCAGTGATAAGTCATGTGGGAATTATGTACCTCTGACATGAATAGACTCTGACCTTCTTCCCAAAAACCCATCACTCCAGTCAGACCAATCAGACAAACACCAAGAAACACCCTACAGAATTCTGGAACCATACAACTTAAAACTGTCAACATCTTGAAAAGCAAGGAAAGTCAGAAACTGTCATCCCCAAGAGGAGAGGAAGGAAAATTGGCAACAAAATGTAATAATATGGTGTGTAGAGTATTGTAACAGAAAAGGACTTGAGGAAGAAACAGGGAATCTGAATGAATCTCAAAACAGCAAAAGTACAGAGCTACATGTCAGTAACAAAACAGGAGCAAGACGAAATATTTAAGAGACATCTTGAAGTGGTACAAAGGACATACACTAGGCTAAAAATTCCCAGTGAGACTAGGGTTGCACAACAGGTTATACTCATTACTGCAATTTCTCAACAACTTTAACCCACTACATCACCAGAGAGGGCCCTAAAATTGTTGTTTTAAAATTACAATTCTACTTTAAAAATACAACTATGTTTAGAAATAAAAACAAAGAAACTACTGCTATATTCGATAACCTGAAGATTTAGTCTTAGTTTACATAGGTAAATTACACACAGAGAATACAAATTTGTTCTTTTTTTTTAAAGATTCATTTTATTCATACAGAACAGGGGTATAGGCCAGAGGTACAGTGGTGGTGAGAGGCTTCACCAGAGACAGTGGGGAGCAGAACAAGCAGATTGATGAGGTATGCTACTGAGGGGAGCAGTGGGTGAGAGAGGAGAGGTCTGCTGTGCCATGTGGGTCACCTCCAGGGCTGGGGATCAAACATGCACTGAAGCGGCTGCGGCTAGCCAGTCCTGCGGCTAGTGCAGTCCTTTGTGGCGCCAGGGAGGGCCCACAAATTTGTTCTTTAACAAAGAATAAAATTGGTGGGCCCTCCCTGGTGGCACAACAGGTTAAAGCACAACACTGTGAAGCTTTCCGCAGCCACTGTAGAATACGTTCGACCCCCAGCCAGAGAGGTGACCCACATGGCATGGCAGACATCTCCTGTCTCACACACTGCTCTCCAGAGCAGTGTATTTCAGTACATCTGACTGTTCTGCTCCCTACTAGGTCTCTGGTGAACTATCTCACTCCCCACACCCCTAGTCTGTATCCAGTTCTGCATACATGAATAAATAAACCTTAAAAAGAAAGACATTTAATTTCTAACATTTCCTATTAACTAAAGGAGGTTGGTTCCTAAATAATCACTAATGATAAAGAAGTACTATTCATAACTTCAAAGGGATTCCTTCAACTTACAGCTAAGTCATAGTTATCTGTGTATAGGAAGATATAAAGGCCAAAGGTGACTTGGATCTCTTACCCTGGAGAATACCTTTATAAATGTGAGGATACAGTCTGGCTGTTATCTAATACTCTTTCTTCCCGCAACTTGTAAAGATGATGGGGGTTGGGTGGAGGGTAGGGGCTGGGCATGTGAATTTGTCCAGGTATTTGCTGCTTGTTGCCAAGGGACTGCTTCACTGCAAACAGGCACTTCTGTTTCACTGACTTCAACATCTGAAATAGTCCTGACATGTAGTCAGGGCAAAGGAGATATTTCCAGAAGTATCTAGAAAGTTGTGTCAGACAGCTTTTCTAGACCAGTTCTGTTCATAGAAATAGAATGTTACCCACATTTGAAGTTTTATAGTAACCACAGAAATGTAAAAAGAAACTTAGGAAGTTCCTTTTAATATGTTTTGCTTAACCCCCAAGTATCCAAAACAATCTTTAAATGTATTATCAGTTGAAACATCATTAGCAATATCATTTATAGCTTCTTTTCAGGAATTCAGCATGCCATTTATACTTTACGGCATTTCGAGTAATTGGTAGTCACGTGATAGTGGCTACCCTGTGAAACAGTGCACACCTAGAGGTTACATCAGATTTGCTCCTGGGGAAAGCATCCTCAGCAGTTTCTTGGAAACTGCAATTTCAGATGAAAATGATATAAAGAAAGCAGGCCCTTGAGTAACATGCTTTGTTCATCTCTGGCTACGGACTGGTGTTCAACTTCCTACTTATCTTCTTACATAATGTTTGAATTTTTTTTACAAAGAGCACATTTATGTGGGTTTCTCATATTGGGTATTCTGGTAGTAAGCAGAGGGGTCAAACTGAGCTGGGAGTGCAAGAGAGTTAGTGGAGGTGACCCCATGAGTCAAAAAGAAAGAGGAAGCAAGATTGGACAGAAAAATGCCTCAGGTTGGATGCAGGTCTGACACCTGTGAAAGGAGAGAGCAGAGTTGGTGGCAAGAGCCTGGACAGCAGCATGGACTTGGCCACATGGCCGATGTGTAGACTTGACCGATGCATTGTGTGGCTCCTGAACAAAGATTGCCCATTAGAGTTGTCTCCCATTAGACAGAAAAGCACTCCTTAGTGCCCCCACTGTGCTCCATCGTCAACCAGGGGCTTCTGGAATCTGAGTGTGGCAGAGTTCAAGGTGCTCCAGTGGGAGGCTGTTGGTGAACAGCACTCCTGGCCCCTGACCACCCAAATTTCCTCTTTTTATTATTAATTGTGGTATACTTTACAATGTTCTATAAATGATCTCTAGAACTTCCTCCTTGCAAAACTGAAACTAAACTGATTCAGTAACTCCCCATTCTCCCTCCTCCTAACCCTTGGTTCCCACCATTCCATTCTGTCTCTGTGAGTTTCCCTACTTTGGGGATCTCAGATAAGTGGACCCCTACACTGTATTACCTTTTGTGTCTAGACGACTTATTCCATTGGGCATAATGTTCTCTAGGTTTGTACATGTTATATCGTATCAATTTCTTTCCTTTTGAAGGCTGAATAATATTCCATGGTATAGATATACCTGTTTGTCCCTCTATATGTTGATGAACACTTGGGCTGTTTCCAACCCTTGGCCATTGTGCTTAAGGCTTCTGTGACCACAGGAATACAGACCTGTTTTCCAGATCCAGCTTTCAACTTTTTGGGATGTGTTCTCAGAAGTGTCATTGCTCCGTTATATGGTGGTTCTACTTTTAATTGTTCCATGCTGTTTTCTACAACAGCAGCACCATTTTACATTCCCACCAGCAATGCACTGGGTTCCAATTTCTCCAAACAATTATTTTAGGTTTTATATACATATATTTTTTAAAGATTGAATTATTTATGCGTACAAGAGTTGGGGTGCAGTCCAGAGATGCAGGAGGGAAAGTGGGGAGCAGAACAGGT